CAAGACAACGTTATCCAAAAAATATAGGTTTAATCAAAAACTATTAACATTGCTCAGTTTTCGTTAAATGTAATAAGCGACATGATAATAAGAATGCTGGGCTGGAACTATTGATAGCGTTAGGTCAACACGTAAAATATTGCCTGAAATAAAAAAACCTGAACTGACGTGGCTCTTTGAACCTTCATATACAATAACCTCAAAAACAGAAACTCTCAGAGTATGACTTCACAAAAATAAACATGGAACAAAGTAAAACAAGGTCAAAAGCATCACACACCTGAAATCTGGATAATTTCTAACCGTTTCTTGTGCCGAATACTGCAATAAATTTGTGGTCAAAGCCATAATAATATAATGCGAGAATTCGAATACAAAGACATAAAATGCATCCGGCATGTTGGTAAGCCTTAAAACTTGAAAGAAACTATTGTCGTAAAGAAAACAAAAAAATAAAAGAGGATTAATTGAAATTATATTATTAAAAATGAACTAAATTTGTATTATATAGAGTCAATAGACTTTTTCACCCAATTATTCTAGCGTATACCCTTAAAGTAGCATAATTGCAAATCCATTACGGTCATACATGAATCTCCTGCAAAAATAACAATGCCAATCAACAAATCAATCCTTCTAGTGTATTTGCTGATTGAATTATGAGTGATCTTGACGGCTTTTACTTTAATCGACGAACAAACGAGAACATCTTATAGAACTGTAGCGAGTCTCCGTGAAAATGTTTTGCTGCACAATGAATTTACCTCAGTCTTCAATCCTACATCGAGAATACCTAATTTGATTTCATTTGAATTCAGACTGCAACATGTTTACAGATATTTGAAGAAAACGATACCTTTCAACTTTTCTGTTAAGTCTACTACGCATTTTTTCCCCAAAATAACCAAAAGCAGTAATGATTTATAAGCATACGTAAGCATTTTCATTATCAATACGGCGAACTAAGATCGGTGGCGGAGCGCCATAGTGGACTATGATCTAAATGCGAAACCAGCGGCTGCACAGTCAATTCAACACGAAGTTTCTCAAAATCACGAGAGAAACTACAAAGAAAGTTCATTATTGTAATCGGTTATAACAATATATATATAGAAACCATACTTTTTTAAAGGAAAAAATCTGATTCTATGAACCATGATTTGTTAAAACTGAACTGTGTTACATAATTCCTATCCATACTGAATCTAATCGAGATAAAGAAACTGTAAAATATTAGAGTCTTGAAGAGAAATGAAAGCGTTGTTGAATATTCTTCCAACAAGAAAATTCTATTAAGCGAACTGATCGAATGAAATATGCTGTGATACTAGAGAAGAGAAAAACTGTTATTAGTATTAAAATTAGGACTTTTTCACTGCTAGTAATGCTGATGTAATGGCACAAATCCCATCAAACATCTCAAATACTTCGACAAAAGACAAATATTTTCCAATAACTTTCTGTCAAAAATGTTGTAAATATACCTCAATATAAATAACACATTGCATATTGCCAAACACCATTCAGCAATAGCAGAAACGCAGTGAAGATTGTAACCCTGAAAGCTAACTAAATGAATACCAGTAATTATCTTTTTATAAATATTGACTATGAAATACAAAATAATTTGTATCTACATACCACAAACCAACATATCTAATTCTGAGAATGAAGAATTGCTAACTTTATGCCAGAAAATATTAACTTTTTATTCATTAGATTTCTGACAGCAGTCTGATTATTCCCTTTAAATCACCACATAGTGCAACTCATCCAACCTTATGACCTCCTAGATTTAGTTGAATATGAAACAGCATTTTCTCAATCTGTTCAAAACTCTCAGCAGCACGACTCGTCACTCATCAGTGTTATTAGCATCAAAATTCTCATATGCAGAAGCAGATTCAAGTTAGTTTTAGCAGAGAACAAGAAAATTTTTGAAAATATTTCATTAATGGAGAAAATCTTACGGGTTGATTTGTTTTCTTGGACCAAGGCCTCGGTGTGGGTAGATCGGGGTAATGTTTGTGAAATTCATTTGATGCAGCTATACCAAAAGAAAGAACTAAAAATATACTCAGTTATTCAACACTAGCTCTCCCCTTTTCAATTTCCTTTATTCTCTATCTAAATGGAAAGGAAATGTTACTTTTGGATAAGATCTAAAAGTCTTTTGTGCCCGACTTCAACGTTATATATGAAACTGCTGAACAAGTAATTTTTATTTCCGTGCTACTCTTTACGAAAAAAAATGAAAGCAGTTATTTTTGTTAAATAAAGTTTTAAAAAATTTCCTGAAATTGAAAAGTGGTAACCTGTGATGAAACACAGTATGGCAGATATTGCTATTGCACCACGGATAAAACCAATCCGACGACTGTTGTATAATGGACACATGTAAATAGTAAGACAAAATTGCAAAAACATATAAAAACAACCGCATCCGAAACATAAAAATGCTCCAGTTAAATGTACTGTAATAACGGCAGATTCCTAGAAAACTGCGTTATAAAAATCTTCGTTTAATTTTTGCTTAAATTTAAATCCAGTTTAGTTTAGTTACAGCTTGAAATAAGGAATGTTATCACAATACTCTCAAAGTCAAGTATTGTTTTATGACTGATTTGACTTACAACTTGAATTTAGACCACCTAGCTTAGTAAGTTTCACTCTTTTGGAAGTGACTCTTGCTACCTACCGTACATACATAAAAAATTTTCAATATCTAGGAAATAATGCAATAAAATATTTAATAATGAGGCAGTGAGTAACTCACGCCACATAATTCATCATAAAGGCTGACCGCTAATGAAATGTTAACTTTAATTCACCCATCTTCACAAAAAAAGAGAAGACATTTTACAAAGCTACACTAATGTTCCTTTTTGGAATTAAAAATAAAAGGCCAAACAAATGACAATCTTAACATACTAAGATCTAACATGGTTAAACATACTTGAAAGTTGGCGACAATGAACATTCCAATTCCACCAGTCATACCGACAACCAGTGTAAAAATATTCAAACGTTTCAGGAGATGGTCTGAATCACGATTGAGTTCAACTACCAGTGAGTACCTAAATTTGCTGCATACTTTTAACCTCAGATGAAATCTCTATCAATCTTAATATCACTTTGTAAGCTATATACAGTCTACTTAAAACCTTTTTAAGGTATGCTAAAGTTACATTTTCGTCCTTTTGCGGATTTTTTTATCATTCCATAATTTCTTGGTCATTCCACCTGACTCCCTACCTACTATTTACACATTCTACTTAACTTCAAATAACGAACCTTAAAAATTTTCCGTCAGTAAAAGTTAACTCATTTTTCCTTCAACCATGCTTTCATTTGTACCCAAAATTAAAGTTCCCATACTTATTCTAATAAACTGCACTAAAATTCAAGGTCATTTCAAAGTTAAGCAGCCAATCATCCCTCAATTTCGACTGTATTTATTACTGAAGCCATACTGAAATCGAACCAATCTAAAATTAAATACCTCAAATAAATGATAAGCATTATCAGAAAGGAGCATAAATTGAGCATCATGCTAAAGAAACATGACTCTGGACGATGATCACCAGAAGATGAAATGTACGGAAAAACTGGATCTACATCACCTTGCCATACTGCCAGTACATAAGATGCACCTACAATCATTCGTATTCACAATATCTAGCAGTGGTGGAAATTTTTGGAAAAACAGTCAAAATGTAACGCAAAAATATGAAGGAAATCTTGAAACTTACTTAGCATTAATGTAAAGAACATTGCAAAAAAGATAGGAAGATGACCAGCAGCAAGAAGGCCAAATTGTAACATAATTTCCTCTCTGCTTCTTATTCTTCTCCAATTTCTGCAATCATCTCACAAAACTAAATTTGTTGAAATTTAACAGATCCTTTAATAAACGAATAACTTAATGACCACCCCTCAATATACAAATGAATCACTCAACGTCTACACGTCTCACGTAATTATGAAAATTCGCCTCCTACTGCACTGTAAAATTCGGACGAGCGTAATGCACATGTGATATTGCGGGATGACAGGATGCTCATATTCAGGTACAGTAGATTTGCTGTGGTACCAAGTTGAGAAGTATAAATTATGATGCATTTTCATCTTCTATCAAAATTGTGCGAAATACATTACTGAGATGTTAATTAATTATGTTTAAATTCGAACCTTCTAGTCGTCGATGAATTAGAGTTAACATACTGTACGACATTCGTTCATAAGTCTCCTTGTGTCTGTAGTACGTTATGTGTTCTTTCTCCTCTCTCATTGAATTATCTAAAAGTTAGCCATTACTAGTATTTCTCTGGCAGTTCACTCGTCCATCTCATCGTCCTGTTTTTATTAAATCTGAATGTCTTGTTGTTATTATTTTGTTAAGTGAAGATTCTTTTTTGTTTTGTTTTCACATACTATGCTAAGAAAAGAATGTAAATTCAAGATTTCGTCTTGTTAGGAGTTAAATGTTGTTATTTTAATTTCATTTCAAATGTTTATTTGATTTTCATGATTATTATTTATTATAAATTGAATATATAACCTCCCTCATTTTTCTGTTTTTCTTTGTTAATGGCTTTCCTTCGACTTCTAATTCATTTCATTTTCAGTTTTTTTGCTGTTCATTAGAGAAGCTTGAATGCCTTTCAAACTACCGAACATTTAGAGAGAAAAGTACCCTTTCACAGCTATCTCATCGCTTCTTCTCTTTTCTCTGCACTCTTAAGTGCTATACATCTATGTATATCCATAAGTTGACATCATCAGCAGTTTACAGATTTGTTATTAAGCTAAGCTTCATGGTTTTAGTGCACCTATGTCTACTGTTACAGACGATTGTTTTCCAATATTTCACGCATTTCACTTATTTCACGATCACACGGTTCATTTAATGAGAATTTTCTTTCCATGTCAAATTGCTCCGAATATTATTTGACGTCATTTGTATCCATAATAGGAGATGGAAAACTTTTTCTTTTAGCATGAGTGATTCAGCGACATGCTCGAAATCATATCAAGAATTCGTTAAATTTGGCAAATTCTTCACAACACGTTTGGTAATAGTCTTTGTTATCAAGTGGTAAAGTTTAGCATGTTTTGGATTACGTCCAAATATTTTAACATAAATCTCGAAAACCTAGAATAACTCAAGATGTCAGACGGAAAGCATTTGTTTTAGGTTCAAGCACTTGTTCAGTCACGTCTTGGTCAGCTGATAGTACAGTCATGTAGTGTATCACCGGATCCTACGGATTGGTTCAGTGTGCGAATTGATGAATTAGGTGAAGTAGCTGCACAGTTACGTACAAGCGTTACAAAGTTAGCATCACATTTTCCTTAAATACTTGTTCTGTTTCGTCCGTCTTTCGAAGTTAACTTCCATTTAACACTTTTCCTGCTTGTAGATATCCTCCAAACACAAATTGTTTCACTTTGGATTTTCTGCTTCATACTGCTGATGGCGATGTTCTACCTTTGGAGTCCTGGTATGTATCTTCCTGCATTTATTTCTGGGTGACTTTAATTATCCTCATTGTAAAGAAAAGAAAATGTCAGTGCAATGATTTTATAAGAAAGTCAATTCAGAAATGATTTAAATTTTGGAACTTAGGAGAAAAAGTGAGAATGAGATTTAAATTTTGCAACTTATTTTCAGCACAAAAGTTATTTTGAATCCAGAATTCGTTGCTCTGCGAAATGGATTCATTGTTTCAGGTTAATTTATGGCGAATTGTGATGATATCATTAGATATATCAGTTTCCAGGTGTGTCCGATATGAATCACAATTGACTGATGGAAATGTCAATGTAAGGACCGAATTATACCACCAGTTAGGAACACTTTTGAAATCAGCAATTGTTGCATCACGAATGACTCCAGCCTACCGATATTATGTTCGCAAACAGAGCCCCGATACTTTCATTATTATGTACAGAGTAAGAGTCCCACAATTTTATATTTCATTTGTTATAAAATTGAAAAGTTTTGCATAGTCGACTTGTAACAAAACCGTCATCTTGTAAAATAAAGCAGGTGTTTATTGTTAAGGTTTACGAAAAAGAACCAGAAATGGATTTGGGTGAAGAGCATAAAAAAGTTCGTATTGGTCTAGTAACATCTCCATTTGGTGGTTTTTCTGTTGACCTGCTTTATCGTACAAAGATGGAAATTGACCGGTAAATCATTAAATTCTACTCAGGTGATAGCGTTTTATTATTACAATATGTTAACTGTGACGTGTTTTTAGGTATTGCATTATTGTACATTAGTTACGATCGTGATTCTTTTATGTATGAGGAATTTAGAGTGCTTGAAGTTAAGAGCCTTCTCCATTTTCATGTAAGGTAGAGTGCTGTAGTTATAAGTTTTTGTTCGAACTTAGGCACTACTTTAATTTTCTTGGCTTATGATATTTCAGTTTTTTGTACCCTTCTATGTTCTGCACTAATTTAAGGATTACTCCATAATTTAAACAAATTCCTACTAAATTATTTCACTGTTGCGTATTCCAGTACAACAACACAGGAAGTAAATGTAAGTGCCGCAGCTGCATTGGAGAATGTGAACACCAATGAACATCAATCCAAAATAGATAAAGATGTCCCAATGTTAATACCGTTCGGTCCTGTTTCTGTTCACTCTACTGAAGTTATACCGGTTAGTCTGGTTTCAAATCTTATTAAATTTTCATATTAAACTGCGATACAAATGAATTTTTTGAAAATCTGCCAAATTTTGATGGAACCACAAATCTGAAAATCAACAATTAAAAGTATTTTGAAGTGTCGAAGCATGATTTAAAGGTGAGATTTTCAGGAAAAGATTGATGAATTAATGTCAGAAACTCCTTCACGACGTGTACGTTTCCATTTGGGCCATTCGCGATCCTCTTCAGATGATGCTTGCTGTCGTGGTGATGTGTGCAGTGATGAACAAATCTTTGGTAAGAGCGCTTTCAAAAGTTTTTAACTGAGTGATGAGTTAGAGTTAGAATTTTTAATTCATGGAATCACTGTAGCTGTATAAAATTGTATGAACAGTTATCGGATGAATTTATTTTTAGGTCTAGACAGAAGCAACAGTCAGCCATATAGTTCCAGTTTGCCACATCGATTAGCTTCGGTGGTATGCTCTGTTTCTGAATGTATTGTGAAAGTAAAAGGCAGTCAAATGTACAGTACTATTAAGCTGATCTTAGAAATAACAAATTAATATCAAATATCCTTATGCGCTAATTTCACATTGTTATCGTTTTGTAAGGATATGGTTTAGTCAATTGGTTGTGATTTTCTTTCCAGCAGGAAGAATAATTTTTTGTTCCAGAAAAACCGATCAAGGACACATTCATTTCCATTTTCAACTCTGCTTACTACAGTTGCGAATGATTCAATTCCAGGTGAAGGACTTTTAGGATCACTAGAAGACAGTGACAAGATAACACCAACTTCTTCTCCTGGTCAGTTCTTTTTTGGTACATTTGGTTGGTTGAAATTGAATTATTCAGCGAATGTCACGGAAACCACCTGAACTTATGATTTTTGAAAGGCATCAATTTGTATAACATTGTGGTTTACATTCTTCAGAGCTATGTGCTTATGTAACAGTTTTATCAATGACCTGAATCGTTTAGTTCGTTCTCCATCATCACCACCTACTCTTGTGGCTTCGACGTGTTCTGCAACAATTATACCTAACCATATGCACCAGTGTGCTACTGTTCCTTCTGGGGTAAATTTAATGAATAAGGGAACAAACGAAAAACAGGAAGGTGATTCTGCTGAAGAAACGGAAGTGCAAAGCGATGATGATGATGACGATTTAACAAGTAGCGACGGTAGTTATGTCAAGGTACTCTAAAATTTGTTGGAACTGATATAATGAGTTTGGTTTGACATTAAAGTACAAGGTTGTTTGAATACAAAAAGAAAGGGAAAGGAGATATGGTAGCCTTGTTTGAGGAAAGAGGACACTATTTCAAGATTGCACGAGCAATTATGATTTGATTTTTTACCGTATTAGTCTTCTTTGAGTTAGAATGTATTGTAGCTGGTTTCCATGCACAAATAAAAATTCCATTTGACCATACTAGTCTCGGTAAGCAGTTCTGTTTCAGGTGGCATTTGGAAGTAGTGAAAGTTTAGCAGATGGCTTAGGTGAGTTCATGAAACAATGTAGATCGGCTCCAACTCATCTTTCATTTCAAATCGACAGTACGTCTGTCATTCCTGAACTGGTAAATCTTTTGACCGCTTCGTTGTCTTCTGTAAAGTCTTTCCCACTAATTCTTTTAAGATGCAAAAATAACAGCGGACAAATAATTCCGAAGCATGGTTGGATGTATGCTTTAAAAACAATCTGTAGCGTATAAGCGCGATGCAGATCGGTTTTTGCAAACTGGAATTTTAAACTATTATTCTAATTTACAAAGTAGGGCTCTCTAGTTTACGACCTAGAGATTCAAAGTTCAAACTACTGAAGCCTGATCGGTTGGTAGGTTTGATCGTACCCCTTAAAAGCTGGCATCACGAACTTTTTCTGAATACAAATTTGCGATTTTATTAGATACAGTCACATTGCTTTAGAGAGAGAGAGAAGGATTGTGATTCTTTGATGTTGGTTCTTTTCCATTTCCCTATCATTAGCACTGCATCTCCATGCTAATTGTGTTATTTTTAGCTGGCACAATTTGAAAACAATCAGAAAATTTTCGACAATTTCTTAGAAGAAATCAAAAGAAAAGCAGACAATGAGGAAGACTGATTACAGGTCATATACATTTTTCTGGTTGCTTACTCTATCATATCCGGTGTTGTAAATTATAACTCCATTTCCGCTTCTTTCTAACCCTTAAACATTCTGTGCTCTTTTATCTTGTAAACTGCTTGCTTCCGTCACTTATTTTAGTAATAAGGAAAAAAAATTTTGAAGAATTATCCTCGATTTATAACTTGTTGATCATTGATAGCCTAACTGGAGTGGATTGATTAAAATAAACCTGTGAAGAAATGCTTAGCCATATCAGGAAAGCTTTTTCGCACGGCTAGTACTTAATGAGTACGAATATTGATAAAGATTGTTTAAAAATTTTTGTTCATAACTTAAATTGCATATTCCGTCGCTCAGTTTCGAATTTGTAATCTTCAAGCTTTTAAGTCAAAGTTTATCTTACCGATTAGGGCTAAGGCTTTAAGTAAGCAAACGTTTTTTTCCGTGTTATGCCTTACATTACTGAGCGAAAATTAGAAATTTTCATGCAAAAAACTTTTGATTTGGGCTAAGAAATTCGTTTCCCAGACAATATCAGAAAATATAATGAGAAAACGAAGAACGAAGCTTAAATCAGTGATAATGTTTGGTATATTTTTTTTTCAAATGACTTACCTTCTGTACTTTTTGCATACACTGTGTGTTTTACCTAATTGCTTCCAAATTCATTGCTATTACAGATAATTCTAATAACCAAATCAATGGACTAATAAATTTTTCAAGAAATTTGTGACTTGTGTTTCACACTCGTGCAAAGCATTCTGTGAAAAGACTGTGAGGTTACATTTATGGAGGATGGATTATCAAATCAGTATTTAAAATGCCTAAATTTTAAAGTATGAAGTTAGTACTTCTGCTGAATCTATTGGAATGGCGAGTCTATATTGCTCCTTGATTTAATGACGGGCGTGTTTTGTATCTATCGGTGATTGCTTTCCAGGTAATTTATAGAAGTATTGCTTCCGAAGTTTTATTGAAGGCCATAAGATATTCAGAGGATTAAGTTTAGAGTTTATTACATTCCCTTGAGTTGTGTCCATTATGATAACTTGAAAAGCTCGAGCTATTGTTTATTTTTTTTTTTTTTTCGATTGTAGTTTATCTGCTTTGTAATGCTATTGTTTTAGTTATAAATACTGGTATTTTTTATCCTTCCGTTGTTTGACACATTTTGCCGTGTTGACACATTTTCTAGATCGCCGTCTTTCTGTTAGTCTTTTCTTCGGCTTGCAAGATGAATCTTGATCATGGGTGCTACAAACACGGTTAATTTATCTCAAAATAAGTTATTTGTCAGAATAAATGACAGGCTTCAACAATGATGCTAATGGATCGTTCAAATATCTGTGAATGGATCAATCAATCTTTTGTTATCTGCTAGCTCAATGTTCAAAGATAGAAGGCAAAAAAGAAAATCGAAATAGCTGGTTTAACACGATAAACAGTTTTATTCTGCAGAATGCTCACATTATATTTGGTTTTTAGAATACATTGTGAAATTAAAAATTTGGTTTGAAAACTTAGTTCAATTGAGAACGTCCTTTTTTTCTCTATTTTGATACATTGACATGACTGATGAAGCATGCCTGCGCTCTAATTTGGTTGCACTATCGACATAAATATTTATAATGTAGTAGTTCATGTTATACTGATGAAATTATTAATTCTGGTCAAAATTTTACCAAAAAAAAAGAAAAAAAAAAAGCTCAACTATCACCACAACTTGTTCTAACATTATACTTATTACAAAGATTCTAAACAAACAGCATTTCGAGACTGTATATATCACAGGAAATTGAAAACAAATACACAGGATATTAAAATAATATGTTTCAGGAATGTTTTGCTTTAGAAAGTTTTTATTTATCCTAAATAGCAATTCAAATCAACTTGAACTAAAATTGAAGATGATGCAGTGAACACTTTTAATCGGTTTATGCGATAGCTAAGATTATTATAATGAAATAAATAGAAGAGAAAAGCAGAAATGAAAAACTGATTTAATTATATGAGCGAAAATAAGATATAACTGGATAGATAAAAATTAATAATGGATATATCAGATTTAAGAAATAATCATCGGACGAGAGAAATGCTCGGTAGTGAGATAGGTCAAATTGGAATAATGCATTTGTTACTGATTTATATACGATTAAGATGACAAATATTTGCACATTTATGTAAAACTGCAATTTTATTTTGACAGATGGAACAAGTATTCATTTATAAATGGATAACATATTAAGAAGAAGACATCTGGAAACTTTTCCATCATTTTAAACCTGTTAATCGTAATAATTGCAGTATGAAAAAGTTGAAGAAGAATGAAAGAGGAAAAGAGAAGCAGAATAATTTAAAATAAATCCAATAATCCACCAAATAATTGGTTTGATCATTCACTCTATTACATTTCATTTCGTTTTGCATCTTTTCTATCTTTTTTTTTTTTTTTTTCGGTCATTTTATTGCAACATTTTAATAATTTTTCAAATAATAAAATTTTTACTATCATTAATAGTATTGTAGTACTGTTGTAGTAAATTATATTGGTTTTATTTCCCACAAAATATTAAAATTGTGAAAATTTCCCACATATTATCACCATATGTTAATTGTATTGTTATTATCATTATTATTGTTTAAATTTTTATCACTGTAGCTATTAAGGTCCTCCTTCTACTGATATAAGTATGATTAATATGCATCCATTGATATACCTATGTATGACTCATAATGTTTATTTCATGTTATCATTTAAAGTATCATTCATTCTTCATTTTTGTTTTTCTTGATTTATGTATTTGTGTGCTGCCAAAAAAAAAAAAAAAAAAAAAGATTTTATCGTGCCTTGATGATTTGATTCGATTGGCAAAATCGACATTGTGAACATTTGGGAAAAATCGAGTTCTTCGACTTGTGATTTCACTGGATAACTAGATTTTCATCAAAGACGCAGTCTCTGTGATTGTTACTATTCATCCTTCTTTTCACCTTCAAAATTTTCTTGCCCTCACAAGAAATTTTTGGGCCTCGATGTTATTGAGATATTTCTTCCTATGCATTACGACGATTATTTTCTGTAAGTTTCATAACTTGTCATTTGTCACCTTTCCTTTTTATTATCTCTTGCTTTCTCGTTTTTCATTTGCATCAATATATGATGGAATATTTCAGCTAAAAACCTTTGCATAATTATCGATCAGTAGGAAAATTTTAATTATTGTTTATAATATAAGAGATTATCGCTTTTTTTTTTTGCTGTGTAAAATTAACAGATATATCTTTGAGCTGTATTAATGCCAATGATGTCAAGGAATCTCAATTTCTTCTACTCATCTTTTTTTAATATCCTCTGTTTCATTTTGTCATCGTTGTCATCTCACTATTGCAAATAATTTTATCATAATATAGTTTCTTTCTTTTTTTTCTCTGTGAACTTCCATAATAAAAATATTTTATGTTTGACGACAAGTTATTCCTTCTTACACTAAAATAACCAAAGAAACAGTGTTCTTACTTTCATTTTTCTTTTCATTTGTGCAAAATTTGACAACTTATCAAATTATATTACTACTGATACATTGATAATTGTTAATAAGATGAGACATATCCCACAGATCAACATAACAAATACTTGAACTTAAAGTTATGAAATGCTTAGGAACACTGATCAAATCTTTTTTCTCGAGAATAAATTCTTTCATAGATTCGATACTTTGTTGTGGTGTGAAAATACTTATCATTGAGTAATGTAGTAGTAAGCAGAATCGTCTAGAATTTAATCATGAAAACATTGTTTGGTTTTTGATTTGAAAAATGCAATCAGCCTCATAAAGCTTGTAACTTAGTCAGTGGGCAAATCGATTCAACGAATAAGGGCAAAAAATTTCATATTGATTTACTTACGATTCTTTATGGTTCTCAGTTTTTTTTTCTATGACATAATTGTCGCTCCAATTTTTTAAAGGTAACTGTCAACGAGAGTTGACTCTACGGAAACTTACGAAAGAAAATTGTAAATTCAACCCATGCTTGAATGGTGGAACCTGTATACCTGGTAAAGTATCTTGCGTGTGCACACCTGGATGGATGGGTCGATACTGCCACAGTAAGTGTATTTATGTCGTAATTTTCACTGCCGGTGACTAAATTTTTCAAAATATTAAAGCCTATATCTGTTTGTTAATTTCAATTAATTTTTTTCTTTGCCAGCCAAATAGCTTAATAATTTTTTAAATTAAATATGATCCTTTGCAGGACATTGTCGAAATGTTTATAAAAGTTGTGAACGATGGGCACTAGAGGATAAATGTGAACAAGTACGTACTCAAACAAACTTCTTCGATATTAATTGCGCGGTGAGCTGTCAACAGTGTATACCGGATCCCAAACATAGTATGCATTAATTAATTTCTTATGCTACCTTGTAGTGAGAACTTTACATTGTTCAGAAAGGATAAGCTTATAAATTTCATTTTGAAGGACAAGATAGTATGTGTTGAGAATTCTTTACAGTTTTAAGTAATATTCCGGTGCCGCCAACACTGGAACCGTTGCAATTTATGGTAGGTCGATGGTATTCAGTGGCATCGAAAGGTTTTCGATATCCAACAGACATGTATTTAAATAGCTATGAAGAATTGCTGGATATTGTGCCTGCTGAAGTGCCAATGTTTGGAACTCCATCATTTAATTTTACGTAAGTCATTTTCAGACTCTACTATGAATAGTTCTTTCGAAAAGAAAAAAAAAAAGTGATTTCATTTATTCGTTATCTTGAAAATTATCGTTTCTATCGAGGAAATTTTGCGAGAATATCACTTTTAAACCTCTACTTGTTCAGATAATGCATATTAATAAAATTGCACTTGTTATTTGCAAATTTAATTTACTAAAAATTGATTTAATGTTTAATATTGACAAGTTTTTTTTTTTTGTTAGTCACGGTTTACTTCTAAGCTTGTTCTTGATATAGCTATAATGACACTCTCTTAAAGTTATAGATGTATCTGCTCTAGTATTAGTGATGTAAACTTATTATGACAGCAGGCAGTATCACTTACAAAGTTGTGTATCTCTCCACGGATTATCTTATGATTTCCTAATTCGTCACTCGTAGAAGTCACTGAGTAAAAGATCATGAAGCTAGAGGTAGTTTTTAGTCTTCTTCGCATTAATCACTAAATGAAATAGATGCTAATTCTTTGTTTCGCATCTTCCTATTATTTTTCAGTGTCTTTAAATGATTCAGTTGGACTAATTTTGTAATAAGCCCATTTGAAATACCGACTACCATTTAATGGTAAATGGTATAAATAAGATGTGTATTATAAATCATGTACTCATAGAATAAAAGAAAAATAAAAATAATGAAACTTTTTTATAGAAGTATTTGCCGGAGTGGAAATGATACCCGTGTGGTGCGTGGTTTTCTAACACTTAGAGCGAATTCATTCCCAATAGAAGTGGCCGTTTTGAGTTCATCCAATGAAGGTTATCACTGTTAAATGTTTCAATTTTTGAATAGTAATTTAATAGTAATGAGTTAAATTTCATTGTTGAATATATTTAATGTTTTCAGTTATTTGTCATTCACGATGACCATATGCTGTTGAACAAAGTATGGTGAAAGATTTGCTGAATGATTTTGATGCTCTTCACACTATATATATGTCATAGTTAAATTTCAAAAACTTCAATGTTTACGCATTCTATTGATATCAAAGCAAAGAGATAGATAGCAAAAGAGAGAGATTTAGCTTTGGTGATTGATAAGATCTATTTTTCACGCAGAGCAGTTTTTGACAATTCCTTATTAGTAAATGGATGAAAGAAATTTAAGATTCGTTCATGTTACCACCCGACTGCATTCTTATGATTAATATATAACAATGAACTACTAATAGATTTTTAGATTTTCACAAAATTCTTATATGCAATCAATTCATATATTTGTAAAACAGTTGTATTTACTTCCAGTATGAGGAAATATTCAGGTCTAACCATGGTTGAACTTGGTACGATGAGTGGTCATATTGTTACACTGAATATAAGTTATATGCAAGTTCATCCCAGTTTGGATAGTTCAATTTTACCTCTTGGAGTTTGTTTTAAGTTCTTCTTTCTTGTATTGGTCTCACTGTTCCATTTATTCTGTAGTAACTTTCTGTCAAGTAAATCATAAACACTATACCACAGATAAACTTTAGAAAAAACAAAAACTCGGTTACTCGAGAATGTATAAATGATAGATTTGATAGCATTCATTATTAGTTTTTTTTTTTTTTTTTATGGATAATTCGGATATCCACTATAATGCGTTTTTCGTTATCAGAAATAGTCGAAAGAACATTACTGGCTAATTCTTTTAATGACTAATTTTACTACTCTCTAGTTTGGCTGGAAATGGTTTACACCACGTCATTTATTTAAGCTTTGCTAAATCCAAACTATTACAACTTTGGTTCTTCTCTTAAGTATACTAATTAAATGGTATTACTTTGTTCTCATTTGTTTTAGGCAACCAGACGTTTTCGGCGTAATGGACAATTTCTGGAGATGATTGTTGCCAAACTGTTTCCACACAACAAGATTACACAGTATAAGAAAATGTTTCGTAAGACACAAAGTTATCCCTTGTAAAAGCTATTATAATATTAATCTTATAAAACTAAACTTTGAAAATTTGATAATGAAATTACCAAATGGAATCACCTCCTCAGACCATAAAAATTTATGGTTTCTCCCTCATCAAGTCAAATATAAAATTTCGGCGGTCATCTGAAAGTGGATAAAACTTCTGAATGTAAATAAGAAGCGAATTGAATTCATAGAAATTAGTAGTAGGTAATTTGTATTTCATTATAATATTTACATATATTATCTTTTGCTCCTACTTGTAACATGCATGACTCTTCCGCAGAACAAACTTTCGGAATTTTAAACTGCTAAGTATTTCAAAATTTCAAATTAACATATCAGAGAGCATCTGATAAAGATTAACTAACACTAGATTATTTCTCTATTGTATGGGTATTTCTGTGCTCAAATTTCAATAAAATATTGATAAACGATGTTTTTTATACATGTCATAGTCATCTAATCATACCTCATACTCATCCAATCGTGAGATCATTGCTGCCGTGTGATTAGATCCCATCTTCTCACTCTTTTTTTTTTTTTGTTGTTTTTGTCAAACCCTCTGTAAAATATTTTTGAAGTGCTTTTCGTACTTCCCGCATTCCTAAATTATGCGCATTACAAAATGATGAGAAAGAAAAAATTGTTTATAGTATCTTTTGCAAGATAAAGACGATTTCTAACCTAAAGTTAAATGAATTAGATGTTGGAACAATTTTGACAGATGATAATGATATAAAAAACATTTTAATAATACCGCCATTTCAGTTTCGCAGTCTTCTCTTTCTATTTTTTTTTTCTGAGTCCTTGACATTATTATTAGACTGAATTCCTCTTAGTATGATGCTATCCGTATTATGTTTAAATATTAAGATTTAAATTTTTGATTGAAATAGTTTATTGGAATTGACAAACGAATGAAGAAAGAAATGAAAGTAAATTTGGCATCAACTGGAATTGGAGTAAAATGATAATTCAGCATGTAAAGTAAATAAGTTTTTGTAAAAGTTTGGCTGCAAAAAATAAAATATATAAAAAAAATATTCAATATTTGTTTCAAATATCATTCAATTCCATAATGTATCATATATTCAGTTATGTAAATTGGATGATTATGAATGAATAGTTTAACCTCGTTTTTAATTTTGAAAATTTTGAATTAGTATGATTCAAATGAGAGAAAGAAGGAAAGACAGAAGAGAGTGAAAGAAACAAGAAGTACCAAAGTTAATTTAATTTAAGAATCGTAATTACAATGTCTCATTTGGACGTAACAATGAAAAAAATACAAAGAATTGGAAAATTCTTGAAATTCTCATTCACCGATTTCTTTTATTTTGAATTTTTTTTTTCTTTTTTTCTTTCTCTTTCTTTTTTTCTCTCTCTCTCTTTATTCTCTTAGAAAGAGAGAAAAAGAGAAAGGGAGGGAAAGAAGGGAGATGAAGAGAAAGAGAGTTACAGGAAACAGAAAGTTTACTTTATTGCGACAAAAAAAAAAAACAAATACACAACTGGTAGTTCTGGAAAGTGAAGAGATAGATGAAAAGATTGAAGGAAGGTAAGGGCGGGGGAATGTTTTCGAGAGTGAAAAGCTTTGCTAGCAGTCACAGTCAACTGACGCTAGCACATCCTGTTAACATTTTCATTGCAATGCAATTGGCCAGATAGTACCTGCCTGAACATAAGTGTGTGTTATGTGTATGTGTATGTATGTGTGTGTGTGTGTGTGTGTATATGTGTGTGTGTGTGTGTGTGTGTGTGTGTATGTGTATGTGTGTTTTTCAGTCATTAGCTTCTCAAACGATTTAATGCTATGGCATCGATTTCGAAATCAATGGGGCAAGTTTTGATTTGGTAAACAAACTTTCCTCCATTTGGGTAACTTTTCATCTTACCAGCGAAACACATTATGTCTCTTTCTCCTTTTGTATTATTGTTTAGTAAACCAAATTAGACTTTGTTTTTGTTTTTCTTTGGTTTACTAAATAAAGCATAGAATATTTAAATTAATGGTGGTAATTGCCTAATTTAAATATTACATTTCCTCTCTCTCCCCTTCTCTCTCTCTCTCTCTCTCTTTCTCTCTTTGCTTTCTATCCATTTTCACATTTTATGATTTGAAATAGTGGATGATTGTAGACTGTTCAATTAGTGAAAGTCCTAAAGTTGATTGCATGTGATGAATGTTAGAGGTTACATTCATCTTTTCCTCTCTTATTTCATTTCCCTTTTTTTTACCTTTCCTTTTTCTTCTCTTCCTTCTCTGTTAATAATAGGCTTTCTTGATGAAAATCAAGGTCATTCAGTACTTTTCCAGGTTAATTATTATTGAAAAAGTCATAAAGAGGAGGAAAAAAAATAAACTCAGAATAATTTCTTATTTTGGTGATTATACAGGCAGCAATTAACACTGTAATTTATTCTAATTTAACAATAAAATGAAACACAATTACATGAATTAAATCAAATATATATGATTGTTTATTGTGTTGTTGTCATTATCTATTGATGACACTGCCTTATCAAATTATCACATATTCTCATGTTTATATGTTATCACTTCCGTACATTTCAATAAAATATCTCCTTTTTGCCATCGTTTTTTTTTCTTCTTTCTTACATCTTTTATCAATAGAAGTAGAATTTTTCGTGATAAATGAAATAAACGACAAATAATGAATGATGTATTAACTTCATATGAATTGAAACTAACTATATTATAAAACCTTAATAGTTCAAAAGAGTGTATCATAGCTATAACAAACAGTAATACCACCAATCACTATCACTCATTATCACCATCACCGTCAGCATCACTACCTGTCTATCTCTTCGTTCATTGGAATTTTTGGTGCTAAAACACACACACACACACACAGACATACACATACATACACCCACATGCAAACATACATATTATACACTTAAACCAACATACAACATCTGTACACTTTGTTTTCTTGCGAAATTTTGATGTGACTTTTCACTGTGTCAGTGTCGATCGATGGATTGCTGAGTGCTAGCTAATTGCAAAGTTACTGTCTGTAAACAATTCAGCTATCCTTGCTTCTCTCTATCATTCCCTCTTTTATCATTCCACTGTTAGTATGTTTGATATGTTAACAGTGACAGGTGCTACCCTTACTACCTTACTGATAAAACTTTATACTACTTTATTGATGTCTGCTATTGTTCTAACCATAAATCGTCTCTTGTCTCTTATATTTACAGTATGTGTCCCTCTATATCTTCTTCAGTCTGTCTGCATATGTATGCCTATGAACGGTTCCGTACGCAATGCAACGATATTGTCCATCCTTCCCGTCCCATCAACAACTGAAAAGAATGTCTTTCCGCCTATCCGCCCATCCGCCCATTCATCCGTCCGTTCATCCATCTGTTCATCCGCTCATTCATCCATCTCTTCATCCTTTCATCTCTCCATCTTTCCGTTCATCCGTCGATTTGTCCAAAATCGGTTCAAAATTGGAAAAATTCTGCTGCTGCTATACACTATCCAAATAGTTGTAAAGACAAACTTAAAACATCACTTATAGGTGTATGTCAATATTTGTATGTGTGTAAGTGTGTGTTTGTGTTAATTTTATTATTTAATAATAAAGTTCTTTCATTTGACATTTCCGAACAACCTGTGCTGTTAGGTGACTGTTGATAAAGTGACTTTAAGCTCTAGTAAAATAAAATGAAAATATTAAAATAATTTATACTGAAAAATAATTACCTGAAAAATGTTTAGTGTTCCTTAAATTATTAAAGGAAAAGGAAAAGAAAAACCAAATTTAGTATATGTGAAATAACTTTATGGAACGATAATTTAAATACTAAAGAGAAGAAAAAGGACAAATAAAAGTTGGCAACATTAAGAAGCGATGATACAGGAAAGTCGGAAGCGGAACGAAAAGGAAACTAAAGAGAATAGTTGTAGTTTTTTGTTTTTGATTCCACAGCAAAATCATCGTTAATTTGAAGTGATTTATTCCGTAATGCCACGGATATTCTGGGATAAATTTCAGTTCAAGAATTTTCAAGAAAGCTTCATTCAAGAATTTTTAATGAATCAAATATCGTTGCAGTCTTTCTTCCTTATTTACTTATCTAAAAAAAGAAAAAGTAATTCCTGGATATCACATATCATCCTTACTTGTTTACTAGGATTGTTTGATCAAACATTTGAGATACATCATTTGCTAACAGCATGCCAAAAATATTATGTACACAGAGATATCTATGAAGAATTGACGATTTTAGTTGTCAAATCAGAATCTCAGTCTATGAACGGTTTAACAATTTTTAAGGCATTGTTGAAAATGAAAAATTGTTTTTATTTTTCATCTATGCAAAAAGAAGGGAAAATAAAGCTGCTGAGTGTTGAATGGGTGGGTATGAAAGAATTGAAAGGAACTGGTATGTAATTTAATTTGTTTCTCTCAATGCCACAAACAAACAGTTCTTGTCCACTGTTGCCCTTCATTTAGGCCATCAAAATTCTATGCAGAAACACACGACACACCTTTCTCATGTCTTCTTTCTAAAGCGTCTAATGTCAATGTCCTGTTCTTGTCATGACCTTTGAAAAATTTATGCATATTTCTATCTAGACTCTCCTATAAAATACTCCTTTCATTCACCTGTATTATTTGATGATGGACAATATTTTATAATTTATAACACTAAAACTTTTGTTTTTTTAATTGTATATACTGTAATCAGTGGATTCAACGAATAGATTATCTTTTCTTTGTTTTACGTTTATAGGTGCTAAGTGTGAAATTATTATATTATCGTCGTTTTAGTCATATCCATTTCCACACCTTATCATTTATATATATTTTTGTTTTTCACATCTTTTTTATTCCATTCCGTTGATACAGTGTGAGTGTCCCAGTTGAGTATTTTTGTAATGCAATGAATTTCTCTTCTACTTTTCGTTTTTTCTTTTTTTTTCTTTTTGTTATATTGATACTTTCTTGTTCCTAACTTATTTGCTTGAAATTAAAATTAAAAATTAAATATGAGATATAAATTAGTATCACATAAGTTATCAGTTAAGATGTTTCATTTTGCTTATGATATTTCACTAAAATATATTTAAATCATAGATTCTTTGGAATCGCTACAAATAATAATTAATTGACGGCATTCTGTCAATCAGATAAGACTAGAATTTTGAGCTGAAATAATCTGAGTGAATGATCATAATGGAAAGGAGAAAGGAGGAAATATTTATTATAACGCAAAATTGAAGTAATTTCAACTCAAATGAATTCAAATTTATTGGATATAGACTGGTATTGGAAGTTAAGACTTATCAGTTTGAGGCTCTTTTGGCGTCCCTAGTATTTTATATTTAAAGTATGCAAGGATTGCACTATTAACAAACTAAGAAATAATTACTGTTGTGATTGTATTGACAATCAGCTTACTACACTGATAATTTGGGATGACAGCTTTCGAATGTTCGGTGTATTTATAAATAATTTTGTACAATAATTTTAATTGTATTATTTTTTCTAGTTGTATTGCAATGAATGGAATTTTTAATTGAAGGGGTGCCACTTGAACGAAGTGGAATTCTTATGATTGAGATAATGGAATCGAAAGTTAAAGTTTAAATCTTAATTTTGCCCTTTTTTTTTTTTTTTTTGTCTCTTCACTGTTTTGGAATGAAATTATTACGCATGATTTGTTAGGTAAACATATTTGTTTAATGTTGAACGTAACAGAACTTAAATTTGTTAATTGAAATATTTATTATCATTAAAAAAAAAAAAAAACAGGGAAAAAATCATTCTTATATATATTGCTGCACTGTCATCATCCCATCCGAGAAATTTATTGTGGTTTTTTTTCTCTCTTTTCTTAATTTTTTAATAGATAACTCGTTCTTTTTTCTCCTTAATATATACATATATATATAAATAACAATTATATTTATATTTTTTTTTTCTTCTCTCATTTATTACGAACGAAATGATTTTGTTGACAGTGTTCCAGTTTCGAATACGGTCAACTGATTCATACATACGTACTATTCGAGCTAAAAGTAATTTTGTTGTTGTTGAAATAGATTGTTATGCATTGATGAATTATGACATTTTATTTTGTTATTTAGAATATACACATTGTATTTTGTGGCAAAAAAAGAAAGAAACAAAAGAATGAAAAAAGTTGTATTCAAGAAATTGCAAGAAGCAAATGTTAGTTTTGTGAAGCAAACGAAAAGCATTGAATAAAAATTCCACTTATATTTTTTCCATCATCAAATAGATAGAACAACTGTTCGTCTGAGAAAAGGAAAAGATAAATGAAAAAAAACTGATCATTTTTTCTCCCTCTGGTTAATTTTGATTATTCATTTTGTATAATTATTTTTTATGACAGTTACTTTCAGATAATAAATACTGTATTACTGAAATTAATTTATGCGTCATTTTTTTTTTCAATTTAATCGTCTAACATTTGCTTCATAACGTTATCAACATTATCATTTGATGATTGTTTGCTGCTTTACATGTTGAGAACTTATCAGTTGCAGTATATGCAAGAAATTTGATCCATCATTAGCTTTGTTATAAAATGTTTGCTGTTGATTTAAATCAAAGAATTTGCCGTGTTCTTCCCATATGCTATTTAATTTAATTTTTTTTTTTTTTTTGGTTAAATTTTTGGAGCTATAATTGGAATATTTTTTGACTTTATTTTTTAAATTTTCTTAATTTCGAATTCATTTTGTAAATTTAATTGAATCAAATGCATTAGTGGAATATACTACTATACTATATTTCTGGAAATGTTGGAAAAATTTTTAGTCATTAACATATAATAGTAACAATCTTTCATCATGTCTGCTGAATTATAAACAGACATTGGTAGTATTAATCAAGAAAAATTATATGCCGGACGAATTGAACTACCGGTTTTGAATTTGTATAATAATGAATTCTTTTTTTCTTAAATTTAAGTTTACACTTTAACTAATGATTGCAAATCGAACCTTCGCTATTGTGAAAATTCTACTGATGCCCATTCATCATTTGAAACGAATCATTTAAAAATTGCCCTGCACATAGTTTGATCTTAAACAAAGATATCTCAGAAGTCCTTTTTTTTTCCACTTTTTTCATCATTACATTAAAATCAAAGAACTAGAAAATTCTTCTGATTGTAAAATTTTCCTTAATGTTGAACTACAAACCAAATGAGAGTGTTTGTTGGAGTAGTAACTATCCCAAATTTTCCAATAACTTTAATTTTGAAAAAAGAAAAACAAAACAAAAAAAAAAAAGTAAAAGTATTATATTCTACTGCTAACACTTAAAACTTCATTAAAACACCTACTAATGCTATTCTTTTTTCCCAATTAACGTTTTTGTTTCAATTTTTAAAATGCTTTTTACTCTTTCTTCTTTTTTTCTTATTCAGGGAGAAATTCCTTGTAATTTTTATATATACGAATTTTATGAATAATATATATGCATATACATATATAGGAATTTTATGAAGCAGGCGAGATGAAACTAGTAATCATCGTTTTCTTTTAGGCAATTTCGAATTGATATGTAAAGTGAATGAGCTACTCAAAGACAGCTACCCAAAGAATTCAGGCCAGAATTTTGAAAATTCTAAATCTAAGTTAAAATCAAAAAATCAGAAATATAATTGTAACTGACGAAGCTTTTAAGCTTACATCGAACGGTGAAGTTATTAATTTTTCGAAAACTTGGTCGATTATAATTTCAAATAGAGATCCGAGTAATTGTAATGAATTCACTTTCCTTTTTTCCTTCTTATAATTGTTACCGTAATCAATGAATTTTTACTAAACATATACAATTCCCAAGCAAGGATCGATGAAATTTTTATGCAATAGAAATGGACTTTACACCAAATTTAAATTTCCATTTTATATGAGAAAATGAGAAATACATTTAGCATACTTGCAAGCATTGATAATTAGAAATCAGAAATCTTCTCTTAAAATAATGCTTATCATTTTTTTAAAAATCTTACACTTGCAATAATTTCTTAGTCTGAAAATTTGTCATAATTAATTAATCTGAAAAAAAAAAATCTTAGCTATATTTTAATGCATGTTTTCCTTTTCCTCATCAAACAATACATTGATCAATTTATATATTTAATTTGAAAATTATGCCACAATGTGTTTACAAATTAAGTCTTTTTGTTTTCTTTTTTTCTTTTTCAGTGTTTACTTTGCAATGATTTCTTCTATCGTTGCTTCAGTGATAATGTTAAATATTAATGTTTAATTTAACTTCAACGAAATCTCAACCATCTGGCAAGCATTTCATTCATTCACTTAAAGATTCTAATTTATAATGGAAACACATATGCTATCATTTCAGATAATACAACTTGAGCTTTTTTAAAATTACTAAAAAGTGAATGGCAAATGATTTATTAACTAATTCATAGACTGGAAACTTTCTGTGTCCAGAATATTTCTCACGTTTACCCTATTTTTACGTTTGTATTCGTTATGTTGCGCGATTATATTACATCATTTAAGATTGAAATTTTTTTTTTACGAGAGTAAAAAACCATTAGTAACCACGGCAGCTGAATAAATAGAAAAGAAAAAAACCCATTTCTTTAAAGACAAATTCAGGCAATTTTTTTTTTTTTTAAATTTATGGAAACACATTTCCGAGCTATACTTTTCAAAGTGAATCTGTCATAAGTTTTTTTTTCTCTTTTTTCGAGAAATATGCTTTCTTATCAGTGGAATAAAAAAAGTAATATTTCGCTTTAGCTTTTGAATTTTTAAAAATTCTGATGTTCATTATTCTGTCTTTGAGTTTATTTGCTTGTTCGACTACGTTACTTTATGTACGTCAATATAATGATATTATCTTTTTACATCTGTGATAATTTTTTGTTTTGAAATTTACAGGAATATAAAAAGAACTCAAGGAAAAGAAAAAATGCAAAGAGAAAGAAAAATAGATGTTACCCCGAGTAATTATTCAGTGCTGGATACTGAGTTTGGAAGTATGCGGGAACGTTTCGAGACCGAAATGAGGCATGTTGAGGAAGAAATGAAGCGTCTAAGGCGAGAATTTGAAGGTATCCCATTTCTTCTCATTCATTCATAAACGAAAAATTCATCTAATCGAGGCCTTAAAAAACTAGCCAGCTTTTTTTTTTTTTTTTTTTTCTTTTAATTTACTTTTGGACATTCACCAATTATAGAATGTTTTGAAATAAACTAAGATTTTCATAAGTTCTGTTTTTATTTGGTCTAAACTGTAGAATCAGTTGACGATTTCAAATCCTTCAAAAAAAAAAAAAAAAAAAAAAAAAAAACACAAATAGAGAAGTTAGAAAGCACAAATGTTCGCTTAAAATAATGTCATACAATTTTATCAAACAAATATTATAAATTTACAACAATTAAATTTAATTTTTTTATTTTCCTCTACGTTCATTTGCTATTTATATGAAATTTCTTGCAGTTGATTAGAATAGATTTTTTTTCATTCGAAACTTAACTAAACAAGATATAACATACAGCAAACTCTTTTCTCTCTTTGTTTTTTCTTTTTCTTGCATGAAACTTTTAGAATATATTTCCGCATATGCTTTCATTTACTATCACTTTTCAAAATTAATGGGCTAAAAAAAAAAAGGACGAATGATGCAATATGAAAAAGCTTATTATTATTATCTTTAGAGAGACATTACATATTTAATTCAGAAAAAATAAATCATTAACATTTTTAATAGTAATAATATGCCTCAGTTTTCTCATATATCTATATAAACAATCACAAACATCATTTACTTTCATGCTAACAAATCAACTAATTGCATAATTTCACTCTCATCAATTTATATGAGAAATATGTTTTGTTTATTGTTTGAAAGGTCAATAATTCCATTTGTTTATCTCTTTGTTTTTAGTTTCAGTGATTTCAATTATCTCTCATCTTCATCAACATACATTAATGTATATGTTACTTTGAGTAGAATCAGAAAAGTAATCCTCAATTATCATTTCTAACGACAATATTTAGATTTTATGAAAAATTTAGAGTAAGTTAGCACAGCAGCTGGGTAATGTTTTCAAAAAGCATTGATACTTGCAAACATCACATTGTTATAGATGTTTTAAGTTTTCGTATTTGAGGAATGAACAAGGTGAGCAGATAGAGAGATAAGTAGGATTAATAAACTGACAGTTGCAGTCATCGGTCAATTGCTTCATTAATTATTCAGATGGTAATTTATTCACTTTATATACTCAATTAGTTATTGCTATGGTTTGATAAGTATGTAGGATTAAGGATGTTGAGAATCTAAGCAGAGCTTCTATAAATGGATTTCCATTCACTGCTGCCTTAAGACTAATTATTTTGACAACAAATGCTTTCTATATTTGTACTTAAAAACCCTTATTCATTTCATGCATTTCATGCACCACATTTCCTTTTCTCTTCTATTATTTAAAATTAAGACTGACTAAACCAAATGGACTGCACTTTTCATTCTCAGTAAAGAAAAGACAGTTCAACAAAGAAAAAGCGAAATATAAAAGAGGAAGAAAATAAGTTAAAAAAAAAAAACAGAAAATTGCTATTGGAGAATATTAAAGTTTATGTTCTCTCAGAAGATGAAAGGATAAATATGAATCCCTTATATTCAGTGGATAAAACACAGAGAATTGATATGGCTTACAGTACGGATTTGTAGGATATACGCCATCACAGCCAGGATCACAAACGGACAATCGCTCCACCACGTATCATCGTGAAGAATCCAGACGTTACGAGTCATCCTCAACACAGGTAATCTATCGCTTGTTTTCTTTTAAAATTTTTTCCAATGAATTTGAAAAAAGGAAATCCTTCTTGGCAGATTTCCGTTTATTACTTTCATATCATGCTTCCTTAATCAATCAGTTACAGGGCAGCGGCCCCCCTCCACCAAGCAGTACATTCCGTAGTGAGGGAGGTTTTGGACGACCGGATATGATGTCCATTCGACCAACATACGATCCTTATCTGGAAAATCTTAAATCACCGCTTATCAAAGATGAAAGTGATGGAAAAACACTCAGACTTAGGTTTACTTAATTTATATTTTCCGAAAAACAGCCTGTAATATCACTAATTATAGCGTATGAACAGTTAGACCTCTAAATGTTTTTGCAATGACTTATGCTGTAGTTCAGGGTATTTTTTTAACGATTCTGTGATGTATTTTCAAGAAAACTTAAAACTGCACGGCAACGTGGAAATGACTCCATGTCATTATTAGACAAAAATGCAATCATTTCTACAGTTTGTCGAAATAAGTCAGACTTTAACTTTCATTTCAGATTCGATGTTGCACAGTATAAACCAGAAGAAGTAACAGTAAAAACAGTTGATAACAGACTTTTGGTTCATGCTAAGCATGAAGAAAAAACACCGCAACGTGCCGTATTCAGAGAATATAATCAGGTTTCGGACATTTCTTCTAATTGTTTATATGCAGTTTGATTTTAACAGTTAGATCCATTTATAATAATCCCGATACATCCTGTACATGTCTGGATTAACGATAATTCTATTTCAGGAGTTTATGCTTCCCCGTGGAACAAATCCAGAACTGATTAGCAGTACGCTAAGTACGGATGGCGTTTTAACGGTTGAGGCACCGCTACCCCACCTGGCTATTCAGCACTGAATTTGCGTAATCAGCTTCTATCACATAATGTTTGAATGATGCAATGATGATTATCCTCCTTCTCAAACCCAGTTTTTCTCCCTCCTTAAAGTCGTTATTACAACAATCAATATGATCTATACAACAAAGTCCAAAAAATACATCCTTTTTTTGTGCACAATTCTAAACTACGTCTGAAATCATTTAAATATAATAAACCAATTTCACAACATGCTATAGCACTGCTGTTAAACTAATTGTATATAAAATTTTCTTTCTATCCAGAACTAGGAAAAACGAAAAGCGCGTTTGAAACCTCCCTTTTCTACAAGAAACATTCCTGCTATGGCTTAACTAAAATGGTCAAATCTCAAAGTTACGGGTCAACTGAAAAAGCAGTCATCTTCAAGCTTTTCATTAACACTGATAAATTGCCCACAATTTCCTCGTTTATGTCGGAAATCAAAAAAAAAAAAAAAAAAGAAAAAAGAAAATTCGATGAATTTCCAAGAGGATATATTTTTGGTAGTTCGAAGAAGAGAAGAAATTTTAATTATTGCAAATAGTCGCTAACAATTGCTACAAGCGGATGACAAAGTGCAACACAAAAATCATACTTAAGTTAAAATACCGTAAAAACAAAATAAACAGCTCAATACAAAGTCTGTAAACACACTGAAAGTATTAAGATTACTTAGACTTGTCATCAGGATTCTCGTCTTTTACTTCGACATCCTTAAAGTATTCTCCATCATTATACATCTCCCTGAAACCATGGATTTCAAATACGATAAAGTTCCTTTAAAAAAGTACAGGATTTTGAACTTTTAAAAGACAAACAATTCAAGCAATCATGTGGCTTGTAAGCAACAACCAGATCTAACACAAAGAAAGGAACTGGTAATAAAGCCTAAAAATAGTACATCCGATTTAATAATAAATTTGAATAGACAAAAACAGTAAAGATTTAAACCTTATTAATGGTGCGTAATGCATATCAAACAAAAATCGCGGTGTTGTTTTCGGAGGAGGCCATTGTTCGCCTTCAAATAGCACGGAGTCAGCGTCTTCTTCACTTCCATACTTGGCGGTTAGTTTTTCAAACTTCTTTCTTCTAAAAGCTGGCCAAAACCTTATTTAAATTTTGAAGATTTACCAATATAATGAGTATATTAATATAGAAAGGAATGGATTTTTGGAATGAATGGAGGAAAAAGTGCAATTTAAAGATGTGTAAAGTTTCCCACCTATCGAGAGAAGTATAATAAAAGAAATATGCACGAAACAGTCGACCTTTTTTCAATCTCAAAATCGGTCCGATATGATACATACGGACACAACCGGAACCCTCGTAAATCTGGAACGATCAATTCTGGATACATTTCCTCAACATGAACAAATTCTCCAGTGACCGGATCAACAAAACCGACATCTTGAACGCCAGTATAGTCTAGAAAGAACAGATGTTATAACATAAAAAATTGTTGTTCGATAGATAATAGCTATATCCAGAAGAAACTCACGATGCAGCTCCTTTGGGTTTTCTTTCTTGAACTTCGGCGATAACTCCGGGAATTCACGATGCTGTCCAGGAAGCTGATGACGCTCATGTATCGAAGGACCCCGTTTTCGCCATCCATGAGCCTAGAAAGTCATCTTTTCTAGTTAGGTTTTAGCGATAAGTTACATCCGTTCTTCAGTAAATTAATAAACCGACACAATTGCTGCTAAACAGCTGTATCAATTTATTGAATAAGCGAAATCAGTTTCAACCGGAACGGCACTAGTTAAACAATAGAAACACTTCCAAAAGTGCCATACTTTCGAAAATATCGGCCAAGGTGGCCGGAAATAATGAGGATTGAGTGACCGCACACTTCTGGTAGACACCAGAATTACCGAAGCTAACATCGTAATTTCAGTAGATTAACAAAAAATGAAACGAAGATAACATCTCCCTTCTGAAAAATAGAACGATAAACTGTTTTAAACTTAGATATGAAAGAAAAACAGGAGACGAAATTCTCTAATAGCTTCATGCATAAGCTGACATCAATAGAAATATCACTTCTCTTCACAGATATAACTATTTGCAGCAAACAACTACGAATAAAAAATTTTCAAAACATTTATGCAGCAGAGCACTCTGTGAAAATGATGAAACATAAACAAAGCGATATCATATAAGTTAATGCTCTAGAATAAATAAAAGATATGCTGACAATAGAAAGAAAAGTGAGAAAGTTATGGTAGAATCAACTATCAATAACATAAGTTTTTTGCTATTATCACCAACAGATCGCAAAAAAAAAAAAAAAAAAAAAAGACATGAGGATCGCACGAAGTAATTTTTAAAAGATTTCACAGCCAGAAGGAAAGAATCATGCATGGCTTAGCACATATTTGGATGGATTAACAGTAATATGAATAGAGCTGAACCAGAAGGCGAGATCACAGCAGTGTTTCACAAAATAGACATTGGTAGGGCACAGAAAGAAAAAAATGGACTGAAATAAAATCAAAATACGTATCAACTACCCTAAGAAATTCTTGAATGATTTGTAATAATATAAAAGCATATAAAGTTTAACAAAGCTCTCATATTCACGCGTAAGTGAAATTCTTTAAAGATTCAACAAAAAGAAGTACAGATTTAATTAACTTACATGAAGTACATTTTTTTTTTTTTTTAATTCATTGCTATAAGAGCAAAAAATCCAATAAACTAAAGCGTATAACACTACATGTTTGAAACATGAAACAGGATTAAAAAGTAACACTGTGTCATCTTTCAAATAAAAATCGAAATTGTTGTACCACGCAAAATAATCACAAAAACGAATTTCAGCAAATTATAATTTAGAAATTCACAGAAAATTGAGTAGCATTAATAAAAATTCAGTAACATAAATGAAACAAACGTGAAACTACAAAGCAGTGACAAAAAAATTTTTTTAAAGAAATAAAATCATGGGTCTGGATTAAGCGCTGCATTTACAGCAACAAGGACGGGCTCATAGATTTTCCGATAACCTTCTTGAGTAAGATGAACATAATCAAACATATAGTGAGACTCAATTTGGCCATTCGTACCTGAAAGATTAAGTTTAAGACAACCATTCCATATATATTGCAACATAAAATGAACTATACCAAAATCAAAAAAAAAAAAATTTTTTTCTTTAAATATGCTTTAAATACAATTGTCAATGAATATGTAGGAGAGAGAGAGGAGTACTGCTAGACTGTTAAACAATGTATACGAATAGATATAATAAAGTGAGCTTTACCAAAAAACCTATGTGTGATTAAAGAAAAAATAAAGCAAACAAGCCTTGTATGGAAGGTTCCACATCGATCACATCTGCCACACCTTTCAATACATTTTCCAAACTTTCATTGATTCGATTCACTAATTCACGTCGTTTGTTGGGTCTTCTTCCGGATGGGAGAAGTTTCTACAAAACAAGTTTGTTTAAAAAATTTTTTAACTATAGAATTTGGGTTGATTTTTTAACAGTGTTTTTCTCTCAACCTGTTCGATTTTACTTATTGTACCAAAGTGCAATTAATAAATGTCAAAAGTAACAAATTACCATAAAATACAATTTTGCTGACGGCTTCTGCTTTCGAATAGTTCCAGCGACACTTTTCAGAGCTTCCAACATTTGTTCCTCAGTTAAATCGAAATCCGAATTGCCAATTGATACAACAATCACCTGTAAAATTTTAATAAAAAATGTCAAAAGAAAAAACAAACAAAAAAAAATTAAGAGCTGTAGATTGACAAAATGCCCCAAAAATCAATAAAACGAAAACAAAAACAGTGAAAGGAAATAGCATACTTTGGGATTCAAGCCTTCCAAAATATTATTTTCAAGCCTCCATAACAAATTCGAGATTTTGTCGCCAAAAGCACCAAAACATAAGCAGTGTAGTGGGGCTAAATTTTCTCGATACATCTAAAAGGAAAACGTTTTCATTAATAATCACTAATAATCAAAGTTTAAATAGTCCCTACTGAACTGTAAATTTTCGTTGAAAGAATTAACAACTTACTATTGACTGTTCAAGCAAAGCTATATGATCATCGCCCAGAAACAAAACATCAGCTTCTTTGTCACGCGCTTCCGAAACAAATCGTTCTTGCTGAAATCAATGAAAACCCAAATTAGAGGTTTTTCAAAGTCCTGATATAAAGTAACTGGATATCTTAAAAATACAACATTATTAAGAAACCCAAAAATTCTGACGTTAAATACAAAAGTGTTAAACAGTACCAATTCCGCCCAACGATTATCACCAGCATCATCCACTCTCCGAAGCTTCTCCATTGCAAACCAACCCGTTAATGAAATTACTAAAAAAGTATTGATATATGAGAATAAATTTTATATAATATTAACGAGGACCAATCAATATGTCTACGCCAGCGACTTTCATATACTGTAACACATAACACATCACAAGTAATACATAGTGGAATAAATTGCTTAGTTACAAAAAGGTTAGATTTCTTTATAAAGCATATTTATTATTTTTGTTGTCCTTAAAAAAAAAAAAAAAAAAAATAAAGCATAAAGCATATTTTATATATATAATATAATATTAACGAGGACCAATCAATATGTCTACGTGATTTAATCTCTCTTTGATCAGAAATATTCCAATTCACAAAAACTTTCTCGACCTCTTCTGTTTCTTCTTTAACCCAAACCACCGCGTACAGCCAAGTATGATAACATCGCATGATAGGAGAAAACAGGGGAGAAAAAGTAACACATACAGGCTCTAGTTTTTAATAGGTAGTGACTACATAGATAATATCGTAATTACCGAAACAGAATAAAAATATTTTTAAATTATAAAAAAAAGTGAAATTTCCGAAGTATTATTCGGCTTTTTAATAACATCGCATGATAGGAGAAAACAGGGGAGAAAAAGTAAATTTTACAACTTCTCGAATGTCCTTTTCGGGACAAAAATCAATTGTTAATGTTTGCCAGTTGTGAATGCTTGTAAAGACATACAAGAAAGGAACCATCTAATACTCAAAAAACCAGAGAGAAAGAAAAGAGCTTTACAATGCTAGGAATGAAGAAACGAGATATTCATTTATGCAAGCTTGTTACTAACAGACTGGAAAAAAATGGAATATCAAAAAGTGAAAGAAAAGAAAACAAATGATTAAAAGTAATTTTACAAAGGATGAAAATAATAACTGTCAAGTGTATGACCTATTAAATCGAGAGTGTACAGTCTATTCTTAATTATCTCAGAATGAACAAAGTTATCGGAATTTCTTATTTCTCAATTCTACACCCTGCTAAGAGACATTTAGATTGTGCACACATATCCTACATTGAGCTTTTCCGTGATAAATTTCCAACTCAGTGAAAGTAATCGCAATAAAATTCGAGATAAAGAAGCCAAAAACCGTTTTTCTTTTTTTTTTTTAATTAATAGTTATTATTTGTCCTTATTTAAACAAAAAGAAAACGAATTCAGTTTCCACACTTGTGGAAACGGGTAGCTAAACATGCTTCTGCATCTATATCTTGGCAGAAAAAAAATTAGGTAAACAACTCATCCATAAGACAAATATCAAATATATTACTTTTCCGTTTGAAAGAAACTTATTTTGAATAAAATCATCAATATAACCTGTTTCCATTCTACAAAGAACTGTTAACTAGAACTATCTGTCGTAAAATCCATGTGCCATAAAAGAATATAGAAACATTACTGAAGATGAGAAAGTTACCCTTACTGTAATCACATCACCCTAATTAAGAGTACTGTCAAACTAGCCAGCATGAACTAAAACTATCGCGTAAACAGCAATTTCAAGCGCAATCCAAAACAACCCATTACGATCCCTTATTGTGCTTCATAAAAATACAGATTTAAATCACAATTGGAAGGATATGAGATAAACTATTTTTAACGTCGAGAACTGTAAGTAAATATTATAACTGCAAGCAACGTGTTTTACACTTTATTGTTCAAGAAATATGAAATCGGAAAACAAACATCTTTTTCGGCAACAAAAAATGGCGACTTCACAGATACCAAAAAAAAAAAAAAAAATCACGACGACTTTATGCTGTATCTATCAACTTTGAGCACATAAAAGGCGTCTACAAATTCATCGTCTGCACTTTCATCAAATTGTGTATTCTGATTTCAAAAGATTGCTTTATTCTGATCAGACGCTGAACTTGGTTTCTGAAAACGCGTATCAAATAACCATGAAGAATCATAGTTTTAGACAGGACAGATTATTTCTTTCAGAAATAACCTTTCTGAACACTTACTTAAGCAAATCAAATTAATCTGCAATTCTTACTGGCTATTCCCTTTCCATACTTTTCTCACACATCTGATATTCCATCAAGCACAGACCAAAAGCGTGAATGCAGATAGCTCAGAAATAGGTAAAGAACCTACCAAAACAGGAGAAATTTTGGTTCTAAAATTAAATTCAAAACCAATTTATAACTTCTTCCCTTTCTCTTCTCTAGCCTTTACCCATTAACTCAGGTTAGAACTTCAAAGTGGCAAGAAAAGAAAATGAAGGTACTGTAGAGTTTTCGCCATCATCTCATGTGCAACAAAAAAAAAAAAAAAAAAAAAAAACAACAGAACTTGAGCGCAAAAATGGTCGTGCATACAAGAAATTCGAAAAAAAAAGAAAGAACATGAAGTGAGATGTAAAGGCTATAAAATAATTCAATACAACGGTTGACATCACGAAGTTCATTTATATAATCGCTTTTGCATGAAAACTATGGATTATAATAAATCTGAACTTTTAAAACTTACTTTTGAAATGATCAGTAGGGAATTTCTTTGAGTGAGAAGTACCAAAGGACATGATATACTTTTGTAATAGTAGCAGTGCTTAATCACTGAAGACATCAACTTTCATGGACCAAAGCGACTAAAAGGCAATAAGCGGGATGAAATGCATACATATCCCATCAATAAAAACAACACTAAATCTATACACGGCACCAGAAAAGAACAAAACCAAAAAGTATTCGTGATAAATGGCGTAATAGTACATATTTCAAAGAAGCAGAGTTAGTTTTTACAACTAATTTTCTCCTACAAGTATTTAATCTCTTCTTGATAATACCGGCGGTGAGTGTACCTCGAACCTTGCATCATGATATGTCTGTATGTCAGACATAGCAGTTATACATTGGCTTCTTTTAAAGAAGGCAAGAAAATGATACAAAAATTATAAAGCTTAATTTAAATGCCTATTAATAACTGTTTATAAGCAACGAAAAAATCCCTATTGCAGCATGAGCGGCAAAGCTATCCTGAATCGAAACAAAGGGACATCTTCCAGCACTAGTGGTCTGCAAAGTTTACTGTTATTAACAAAAATTTTCACACATTAAAACTAGTAAAAATCGTTACAATGCAATTCGCTGCCGGAAAATGAATGCCGGAATATATCTATGTGATGAATTTTATTAAGTTTCAGAAATTCTTTATTTTGAAAGAATCAATCGAAAATAATAGGAAAGTTAAACCACGAAAATCGAATTATTACTTATATTCCAGTTAGCACGGTAACGGCACGAGTTACTAATTATTGACTTACGGCGAGCTTTTTGTTGTAAAGCTTTAACGCGATCAGTGAGATCTGTATGTTCGCCATTTTTGATTTCGTTATCAGGAAATTCCCGAGAAACGACACAGAGGAATTCACTTTGCATATCGCTTTGATACTGGAACTGGCCGATGGGAATAAGCTTAAAAAAATAAAAGAATTACGAATCACGAATCATGAAACCAATTTATTCCTCAAAGTACCATGTACTCGATAAAAAGAATAATTTATAGTCAATTCAATACGTATTACGATTCACGTATTACGATTTGCCGGGTCAACTCAATATGAAAAATCTACTTTTTATAATCAATAAAAACCAAAATGTGAAACGTACTTGAACTAACTTCCAACCATCTGACATTGCTGATACAACATTTGTCAATTCCTCTTCATGACATTGGAGGACGCGATAAACATGTTTTGTCTGCAAGACAACTGTTAAAAAAAATTAAATTTCATTTGAAATCATGAACTGTCTCATTAAAATTACTCAAAATAGAATTACCAATATAGATAACCTTAGTTATCCTATAATAGTAGTAGCTCTTAGTGACAAATTTCTGCAAGTCTATGAAGTGTTTTACTTGAAAATCCCATGTAGTATAAACTGTACAGGATTTTGGGGAATAAAAAGCTATCAATCTTCATCAAACAACAGTCAACACCATTCACTACAAACAAACCTGTCTCGCTTTTTTCAGGCCAAATTCTGCTAATCGTTCCGTACATAACTGAATTAGCCGCGGCAAATTATAAAATTCTGCTTCTTCAAGAACGCCTGCAAAGTGAAACCTTCGATTCTTAGCAATCAAATCATAAAATGGTATAACTAACTACTGTCAAATCACCACAGTACACCTACCTTCGATACTCACATTCTTGTTTACTACAAGTTTTCCATGACGTAAGTAGTTCAACACAGGCGCAAAATATTCTGGATCACGATCAATCAATATGGCGCCAGTCCCATCCTAAAATAAGATTTAAACCATACTGAAACCAATTTCTAAAATTTCAGCTCATTTTCCAAGCCGGAATTTTTACGAAAATAAGGATGAACAACTATCTTAGTTTATGAACTATTACTTCATCGACAAGACCACTAGTATTTTCAGCTCTGCTAGTGATATATGAAGCTTAAAATCCTGATTACAAGAATGTACGAACTTTCTCACTGGGCAATTCATCGTCTTCTTTACAAAGACGAGCCAAAAATGAATTCGCTTCGCGACATAATGTCTGTCGAGTAGTTTGAAAAATCTGCAACAAAAAAAAGCTACTTCCAAATTTAATTGTAGTTCAAGCGATCAAAGTCCACTTTGCGGACCAAGAAAATATTAGCAGAGACCATCCCAATAATTTTTCGGTTTGATTTAATGAAGATATGAAACTTGCTAAATACTTATCATGCACCAATTTGTTTACTAGAAACAAGGAAACCAACCGTTCCACCAACATTCAAACGTATCCACATTTTTGACAAAGCAACATCTACTCTCTGTCCACCTGGCATTATTTGCTGCTCGATATCCATTCCTGACGAAGAATGGTGGACAGATATATCGGATATATTTGTTCCACTAACCTAAAATTTAATCCTCACTCTTCCAATAATCATATTATTTTCGCAAAAGATTAACATTAAAACTTCTAAATGAAAGCTATACGGCATGCAGTGAAGCAGTAGAAAAATGAGGAGACTGT